ATCAGACTGAACAAATCTCTTGGAGGCTCTTATCTTCTAAATGGGGATGTCAATTTTCTAGTAAAATCAGTCAAGCAGAGATAATTAGTGCATCTAATCAGAGTCGCTGCAAAATCAGTCAAAGACAAAGAGAAAACTCCAAAGTTGTCCTCGTGCTCACATTCGTTAATCAAAATACTCTCTCGTCCTTCAGAAAAGACATCAGACTGAACAAATCTCTTGGAGGCTCTTATCTTCTAAATGGGGATGTCAATTTTCTAGTAAAATCAGTCAAGCAGAGATAATTAGTGCATCTAATCAGAGTCGCTGCAAAATCAGTCAAAGACAAAGAGAAAACTCCAAAGTTGTCCTCGTGCTCACATTCGTTAATCAAAATACTCTCTCGTCCTTCAGAAAAGACCTCAAGAAGGAGACTTGCTCAGGTAAAGCCATACGGGTCTCTGAGGTTGGCCTGGTCCTGTACTCCTGGCCTGTTAGCTGATAGCAGAATCTCTCTGTGAGGTCATCACCTCCCCATCACTTTTGGCCAATAGGATGAGGTCCTGCAAAAGGCCCTTGTGATGTCACCACCATGCCCACCTTTCCCTAGCAGTGTTAATATCCTGCCCTTGGCCAGCCACACTGGATGTTGGAGCTACTCTCCATGGATTATTTCACACAACGAGTGTTCATTCTAGGGAGAAAGCTGGCTACCCCATAAAACATCAGAGGCTACCCCCCAAGCCTCACTCACATTTTCATAAATTAGCAGATGGTGTGGCAAGAAGTAACCTTCAGATCATCTAACCCCCTTCAAATTCCAGGCCTCATGGATGACAAAAGAGGTGGGAGGTTTTTGGCCAGAAGAGACAATTAGTGCATCTAATCGGAACTCCTGCAGATCATAGGCCTCCCATGTAGCACAGTCGCTAGTTTTAAATCTAACATATGCCAGAAAGGCATCTGGTCTTCATTAGAAGACATAAAAAGATGGAGAATCCCCATCATTTTCCGTGGAAGTTTCTTTGGTGAATCATTCTCACAGGTGAATATTCACACCTCTTTTCTCATATGAATTGGTCTCTTTTCAGTATCCATCCTCTGGCTCTTGATTAATGAGCCCTTTAATACCAACAGTTTCTCTCCATGAAGCCATTTCAACACATCCATTAAGTCACGTCCTAATCTTTTTTCTAAGCTAAACAGTTTGAGGTCTTCCATTGGCTCACTCAAAGGCATTTTTCTCCAGCCCTCAAAACATTTTGTGGCTCTTTCCTGCCCCATTTCCAAGTTTTCACCATCTTTTCCAAATGTTGTCACCAAAGCTGGATGCACTATTCCAGTCTCTGTGTCACCTCCCTCGCCCACTCACTGCTCGGCTGCTACATCCAATGATGCACTCACTCTTGTTCATCAAAGCATCTTATTGGACACCCATGGCAAACAGCTTGCCCAATATAGCCCCTAAGTTCTCTTCTGAGACACTGCTTTCCTGTATCCACTTCCCCATTCTGTAGGTGTTCCCTCTGATTTTTTCCATCTGTGTGTGGAATACATTTTGTTACATGCATTGAGGCATGTGCAGATGAGTGGGTAGCATCAGTAGCAACACATGCTGCCAGCTGTGGGCATTCTGCTTATCAGCTGGGTAGCACTTGAATGTCTCATGGGTGGCTGCCCAGGTGCTCCGTTTACAGTGAACACTAGCCAGTAGTTCACCCGCTGCCCATGCCTCTCTATAATGAGTGTGAAATGGGTTAGGACCCACAGTGCCAAATCTAACCTACCTCCTTGTGCCAGTACCCTGAGGGGTTAGGATGAGAACCAGGGCTGGGGCACAGTTATTATTGTCATAGTAAATGTAAATAAAATTCATGAGAAAGTCGTGGGAAAACTGTATAAAATCAGGGTATGGTCAGGGAGAGCGGGGGATTGAGGTCAATGGTGAAAGCAAGCCAGCATGGGGCACTGGTAAGTGTTTGGACTGCTGGGGGCAGCACTCTGGATGCTGCCAGCATAGCAACAAAAATTGCTTGTCACTACACCCTATGCAATGCAGCCACAGTTCACCCAGGCTCCTGCCCTGGGAAGCTGGCGGCCAGGCAGTGCTGGGGAATGGACGACCAGGCAGCATAGTGGCTGCCCTCTCAGCCCCAAGTTCCCCACTCCCTGCCCTGATCCCTCCTCACACCTCTCAACCCAGCCTATTGACCTTACTGCACCACCCACATCCCCACCGCCATGCCCAGAGCCCTCCTACATCCACACCCCCCCAAGCCCTGCCCTGAGCTCCCCGCCACACACTCCACCCCACACTTACAATTCTTATAGTTCTACCGTAACACCTTGCAGCCTCCGCTCTGAGTCCCCTTTTTTGGGGGCGGAGGGGTTTGTAATATGACAGTACTTATAAGAAATTCAAGTTACTTTTTCTGCCTGCTGCTGACGTAGCAGCCCATCTGAAGCCGAAGAAGGCACGGAGATCTGTTAAAGTCACAAGATCCATGACCAAATGGTATCCTTAGTTACGGTCAAAGGCACCCACTCTCTGGGTAAAATTAGCAGGGTGAAGAACACCCACCGGCAGCCAAGTTCCAGCCCTCTGTCGCCCTCCCCACCAGCCCCACGCCTTCCACTGGTGGCCCCACTGACCAGCTCCTCCACTGCCCTCCCAAAGCTTCCATAGCACCACAAACAGCTGATTGGGGCAGAAGGAGGAGGACCAGGGATGGGATGCACTCAAGGGAAGAGGTAGAGCAGGGATGGAGATTTGGGGGAAGGGGTGGAGTGGGGGGCAGCCATGGCGCAGAAGGTCAGGGGTAGAGCACCAATGGCCGTGGTTAACATCAGATCTCAGAGTAGGTTAGAATTAAGTTTCAGGTTAAGGTTAGTGTGAGAGTCAGGGTGAGGTGCAGTTTTAAAGCCATTCTGGGTTAACTGGATAAGCTAATGGCTTTTCAATATAAAACACCCCACACCTTTTTTAAAATGAGTCCTCTGGCACCTTAGGATACGTCTATACTGAGGAGCTATTTCGGGATACCGGAAGTATCCTGAAATTGCTATTCCATGTCGATTGAAGCAGCCTGTTATTTCGAAATAGATTTAGAAATCTATTGGCTTATTACAATGCTGTGTAAACAGCACCAAATTACAAAATAAGCTATACAAATTGCATAGCTTATTTCAAGCTAAGGGTGCTGTGCAGATGCACCTCTAGAAACTGATGTATTAGGACATAAGCTTTTGTGGGTTTTTGCAGATACAGACTAACATGGCTCCCCCACTGAGTCTCTCCAAACCTTATAGTTTATTAATGATTTAAACTGATTTTAGTTTTGGCCATTATTAGGCAACAGCACCTGCACAAACTCTCACACACATCTATTAACAACCACACCCAGGACACACACTAAACACAGTCCTCTGCACAATGCACAACCACATGCACATGGTTACACAGTTCCATAAATACACCCCACCCCCACCTCAGTGCTGCCTCCCTGACCACATTGGTATCCAGTTCAGAAGCTATCCTCCACTCATCCACTCCTGCACCCCATCTCTCTAGGACAGCCCCTTGGAGAGTCCCCTTCCCCCATCCTCCTAGGGCACGGGTAGGAAAGCTGCAAGCCCAAGAGCGGATCTGTCCCCTATTTTAAATTCATCCAGGCTGCCAGCAGGAGGGGGGAACTGCAGGTGGAAGGCAGGGGTAGGGGGAGAGGTCGTCCCCCCATCATTGCCTACCCACCCAAAAGTAGGGGCCCATCCAGTTTTCCTAGCCTTGATTTTCTCTGGCCTGTGGCCCCCAAGTGATTTTTTTTCTGTGGGTAAATGGCCCAGATAGAAAAAAAGGTTCCCCACCCCCACCAGAGTCCTTACACCTCTCAGCCCTGGGTTCCCCCTGTGCCCCTCCCCTTAAGGCCTTAAGGACAGCCTCCCTACACCCTGTCCCTCACCATGGCCCCCCAAGAGTCCCTGCCCCCCTCCCCAGGATTCAGCCCTGGGTACCCACTGTGCCCCTCCCCTTAAGGACAGCCTCCCTACACCCTGTCCCTCACCATGGCCCCCCAAGAGTCCCTGCCCCCCTCCCCAGGATACCCC